AAATTGAGGTCATCAATAAGACGATTACTGTATACATACATCACAATTAATATAGCTTGTGTATTTTCATTTATAATGATAAACAAATAAAAACAGAATAAAAAACAAACAGTCTGAATTTAACTAAAGCAACCATAGATAAAAGTTCATTTCACTTTAAAATCGAATTTTTAACGTCAAAATTATTTTCCGGGATGAAAATTATCCAATGTCATGCCTGTCAACTTTTAGGAGAAATTCTATTAGATTTTTTGTTACATAGTGCGTAAATTTTAAGCAAAAATGTCCTCTAAAATACTACTATCTTCGAGTGAAAATATTGACGGAGCAATTGCTAGAGCATTTTTAACACTTATCAATGTTTTGATCATGCAAAAGACCCAATTAGTAACATCTGGTGAAGAAGCTTATCCAAAAGATTTTGGCAAGAAGCTACTTGAGGTGAATATGTCCTTAATCCAAGATATATATTATTGAATGTCCTAAATTCTGCAACCTAAAGGGAGATACAAAAATTGAGGTCATCATCGGTTTGAGTTGCTTCTTAACGTTTCTGTAGCACGAGGGGCGTGCTTCTTCAATGGTACTTCTTGGATGTTCAACATCGGAGTTGGAAAAACCTTTGAAGACACTCGTGCTAGATAAAAGTTAGGAACCAATTCCAATCGACGATGACCATTAGACCAGAATCAGGACAACATCAGTTCACCTACTGACCGCGAAGCATTTACCAATTTGAGATACAAAAATCACAATCCCTTACTTTTTTNACAAGAAGATTTTTGGAAGAAATAGGAAGATATAATATGTATACAGTTTCGCAACTTATTTTCAGTTTACAATAAAATAAGTTGTTGACGACATTGACATGCAGCAGATGTGATAAACTGCAATGTTGATTATATTAATAGAATATAAATATATTATCTATATGTAATTGGAATAATCAGTTCAGATACCCCTTTCTTCATAACAGTAATAACAGTGTAAGATGGATTCACGGAACTCTTTTAATAAATAATACGTGAGTGCAAATTTTGTTGATTATTTTGTTATTGAAAAATTGTGTATAGGGCAACCAAATACTTACTGGCCAAATTTATATAAAACTTATGGTAAAGCACAAGGTACGTACAGTATGTTACAAATATTAATTATAAATTTTGATCGAAGCTTTTTGGAATGGCAACTTACATTTGTCGGTTGGTACAAATAATAAGAAGGAGAGAGAAGTCCAAAACACATTCGATTTTCGGCCATCGTTGCCAGGCCTAAGGAAATTTCCCTAGACCTTAGGAATTTAGAATCAGCTTACCAAAAAGGAGATTTTTATTTAATTTATAATACAGGTAATAGAAGTGGCGGTAAATGTCTAGATGATGGCCCCCACCCCCGAAGGGGGTAGAGGTGGGTGGGATCGAAAGAGGAGGTCTCCCCCTCCACTGTACCATAAAAAGTTCGTGGCGGTCTCACCCCCCATAAAAAGTTATACCGAAGTGGCTGATTTTAGATATCTAGGAAGTCAGATAAGTCAGGACGGAAAGAGTAGTAGGGATATAAAACAGAGGATAATGCAGGGTCGAGTTGTCTTCAGTAAAAAGAAGTCACAATCTTGTTAAAGATGTATGTTTGGAGTGCGGTGCTGTACGGGTGCGAAACATGGATGGTGGGCGCGGTGGAAAAAAAAGGTAAGAAGTGTTAAAAATGTGGTGTTACAAGCGAATAACAAGGATGCCGTGGATGGAGAACGTTAGAAATGAAGAAGTATTAGAAAGAATAGGAGAACAGAGGACTCTATGGAAGTCAATAAGAGGTAGGCGAGATAGGTTGGTAGGACATCTTCTCAGGCATGAAGGTCTGGTTTGAGACATATTAGAGGCAGAAATATGAGTTAAGAGGAGTAGAGGTAGACCTTCATTAGATTACTGTTCGCAAGTAGTTAAGGTTGTGGGTTATTCTAGCTTTGGGGAAATGCGAAGATTAGCTCAGGATAGGAAGAAGTGGAGGTGCGTGTCCAATCAGTCTTAGGATTAACAACCAGATGATGATGAAAGGTAATTCAGTTTTTGTGTTAAATGAATTATCGTTGATTAAAGGTTATTTGCACATTCTTTTAAATACTTGTAAATAATCAAAGAAAAAGTCTCCCTTTCTGTCGTCAAATCTGCCAATGCTGATTTTTGCTGATCATCCGTTATCATCATCATCATAAGGTCTTCAGTCCTAAGACTGGTTGGATACGTACCTCCACTCTTTCCTATCCTGAGCTAATCTTCCCATTTCTCTAAAACTAGAACAATTTACATCATTAACTATTTGTAAATAGTAATCTAATCTAGGTCTACCTCTACTCCTCCTAACTCCTGTTTCTGCCTCTAATATCTCTCTGACTGGACCTTCATGCCTGAGAAGATGTCCTACCAACCTATTTCGCCTACCTCTTATTGACTTCCATGGAGTCCTCTGTTCTCCTATTCTTTCTAATACTNACAGATGTCGAACGCTGCCGAACGCGGAGGCCGATTGTGCCTCTTTGTCGCTCGTTCCGCGCTCTCGCTTGCACTTCAAGCCTTAAATGGAACGCCTCAGAGCGAGGTAATGCCGCATGAGTCATGTTTTTTCGTGCGTGCAGCCGGCTCCATCGAATTATAAAACGTTGTCATGTTAAAAATAAAAAACTGTTATGAAATAACGTTATGCATACCAAAATTTTAAATTATGTATATGACATTCGTCAAAATCCATTCATTTTTTGTAATTTACATATGTATATTGCAAGCATAAAGACAAATAATAATAGTACTGAGAACGCCGACCGGGAAAGCTTACTTTATGTATTACTTAGTGCTTAGGTACTTGGTCCTTACTTAAAATTGCAAAATTATAAATATTAAATATTTTAGAAAAAGACGAATATAAAGAGAGGAGACGAAAAATTGGAAGTGACTCATTTTCGGTATCTAGGAAGTCAGATAATCAAATACTTCAGGATGGAAGGAGCAGTAGAGATATAAAACAGATAGCGCACGGTGGAGTCGCCTTCAATTAAAGAAAGTCACTTTCATGTTCGAAAACGGTTAATTTAGAAATTCGAAAGATTATTAAAGATGTATGTTTGGAGCGCGGCGCTATACGGGTGCGTAACATGGACGGTGGACGTGCCGGAAAAAAGTTAGGTTAGGTTAGAAGCGTTCGAAATGTGGTGGTATTAAAAAGAATAAGAGAACAGATGACTATAGAAATCAATAAGAAATAGGCAGAAACAGGAATTAAGAGGAGTAGAGGTAAACATCGGAATGGCAATTTTTACAGTGATGTCGACACTATTAGATACCTGGTCGGGCATCCAGCAGGACTAACGTCGGATATACGGCAAATCCAAACTCCTGCTTGAGCAACATTCCTTTTTAATATTTAGTAAGATTGACTGTCATGTCTTGACTGGCTGGCGACAGTGATTCTTAAATTACGTGCAATTTCAAAGCATTTGTGTGTGGCACACAGCGGTCAGATGTGAAGGGTCACTTTCACAAAACTCATCAAATTGCAATTTTTAAATACAGACGCAATATAATACGTAATTACATTGTTGCCTAATACATTTCAGTTCCTAAATCGAAATAAAATGTGCATGACAAATTGCTAAGTGCATTTTAATGTGACGGTTTGAACAGAATATTTTTAACTGCCATTTCCGGTTAGTGGAAGCTATGATAATTATGTTTTTAATTAATTTAAAAGCAGAACAGTTTGAGTCACGATGTTCTTCGTGGATTCAAATTTAAAAGATCCAAAATTGCAACTATTTACTTAGGTACAATTATTGTGTTTAATCAATAAAAAAAAATGAAAATTAATACTTTGAAAAGCATTATTAATTGAAGGGATTGCTTTAATCTTAAAATACTATAATTAATGGCAAATTTTGCAACAAATTATCCGTGAGATTGGACGTATCCCCTTTCGTTTCCACTTGGGACTGTCATTTGCTGCATTTTTGAACACGTCCTTCTGAAGTTAGGAAATGCTTCATGAGTAGTAGAGACAAAATGAAAAAAGATAACCGAATGATAGTAAGCGGTGCAGCGGTTAGAGTTTGCCTAGGTATCCAAAAGATGAGGGTCGACTATACAACTGCTTGGTTGGAATTACATCTTTAAACAATCGTCTTTGTTTTCCAAAATTCTTGAGAATCTTGAACTTCCTTTGAGTCCGATAATGACAACATACTCAAATTGTGCTTGTCTGTTAGACATTAATTAGTGTAATTTTACTCCTTTTTATTTATTAGTGACAACTGCAATTCCTACCTGACATAAAAAAAACTTTTAGGTGTTTCATTCCCACCAGCCATTAATGCTCGTGGGTGTGCAATCCCTCCGGACTACGCCAGAAAGTAGGGCGGAAGGCCCTCTTCAGCCTCCTTTCAGGAATCGTGGGAATGGGTGGGTGGTGGTTCGGGTGAGAAAGATGAGACAGACGAAATGAAGACAGAGAAGAATGAAAGATTATCTGTGGAATATTAGAGCCCCAACATTTGCCTAAGTGATCCAAGGAAACCACAGAAAAACTTGAAGCGGGACTGACGGATCCGGAATCGAAACGGCGTCCTCTCGAATGCTCATCAATGGTCTAAACCTCTAGGCCATGCCGCTCGGTTATCTGACATCTCTTTTCTAAATTTACAATATTCCCTACGATGTCTATCGGGAGTTTAAATAGCCGTTTTGTCAGCAATCAGCAACCGATCTAGTCTAGTAGTAAATTGAAAGAAGAAAATAGATGCGACAGTTTTATTGCGGATTATGCCAATTTTGAACGTCCCCACCTTATCACTGTTTTCATGTTTCTCGAGCCAGTCGCTGATTGTAAAGCGATCGTCTCTCGCCCATGAAATATTGAAATATCTCTCTAAGCACCCTTCCAAATATCGAAATTTTTTTCCACTGAATCATGTATATATGTATAAACACGCATACACATATACATGCCGTAATAACATGTCGAATTGCCAAGTGAATGAGTAACAACTGCTCTCCAGCTTGGCAAGGTCCTATTAAGTAATTTTTACGTCCATGTAAGTCCGTATATCGACGGTGCCTACTGCCGGTGCATCACATAGGCATACTCTAATCGTAAGGCGTTCAAAACTTTCTCCAGAGGCGAATCCTAAAGTCAAAAGTTGCCAACGAGACGGTCATTCATTCGTTTTTCTAACGCGGATCGCGACACTCGAAGACGAGATGCACTTTCGTTAAGTGTTTACTTGCAGTGAAATTGCGAAACGTTTGACAACGGTGCTTGTATAAGTGATTTCAATGCGCGGCTGTTACAGAAGATTAACTATATTGACGAGGCCGATGACGCGAGTGCATCTGTAACGGAATTCCACGGATTAATGTTAGATAAGTATGTAAAAACATTATAAAAAATTGAATCCCAGCGACTGTCTTCTAAATTGTATGCCAATTGACTTTAATACTTATTAACGNTTTTTTAATGGGGCAGTTTTTGGCAGTTACTTATTAGGATTAAAGGATTAAAGACCTTATTGTTCACAGGGATCCAGAAAAGAATTTGACTTCATAATAGTTGGCGCTGGAACGGCGGGTTCCTTAATAGCAAGGAGAATGTCGGATTATTTAGATTTCAAAGTTTTACTAGTGGAAGCTGGTGCAGTACCATCAACGACTTCCATCGTATGAAACTAGAACTAGAAAAAAAAAAATATAATCCATGGGTTTATTTTTTTTATTCATTTTTTGATCTGATTTCAATATCTGTAGGTTCCCTATGTGTTCTATACGATACCATTTACCAATGAGGACTGGCAATTTCGTACAACTAAGCAAACGAACGCCTGTCAGGGTTATCAGGGCAAGATGTGTGCCATCCATAGGGGTAAGTCAATTGGAGGGACCAGTTCAATCAACAACATGCAATACGTCAGAGCAAACCCTCGCGACTTTGACCGTTGGCTCATTGGAAGTATAGAAAAATGGGACATGGACACCGTCACTCCTCTGTATAACAATCTCGAGTCCTGTCGATCAGACCACTGCAGTGGCTATGGAACGGACGGGCTCATTAATCTTGAGACTATAACCGACAAAAGTCATCATATTTTGGATTTACTAAAAAACGGTAAACGTTATTCTTCTAAATCATCTCTTCTATGTATTGCAATTGGAATTTTCTAATTGAAAATTGCTTTTTTCTCTTGTTTCAAACCCCACGAAAGCGCCAACTATAAATCGCAACGATCGAATAGCGCGCGCTTCCCCCACTTTATTTTCTGTTACATATTTCCGTTGCATTCACAAAATTAGTCCCATATACCGAGCGATTAGTTGCTTTTTATCAAAAGCATGCTTACTCAGTCAGTATCATAGTTGCTTGTCTATTTGTCTTCCTATTCTTCGTTATTCCAAAGCCGATGTACCCAATTTACTCGCTCGATAAAAGCTTTAACAGATAAATAAAAAACCGACCAAGTGCGAACTGGATTCGCGCACCAGGGTTCCGCATAAATTTGTAGGTATGTAAATAGGTTATCCGTCACGGGAATTGAATCTGGAAGATTTTTCCCACTTTTTCTGAGTATTTTTAAACTTTCTTCCAAAATTACCCCCCAAACGTATAATTACAATATTACAATTAAATAATTATTTTTCTATGATATAACTACAATTTGCGGGTTTCGGATTTTTCCCTTAATTTGTGCTATAAGACATGGCTTCTTGCCAAATTCCATGTGGGTCAAGTATCCTCTAGGTTTTGACTCCTTTCGAGTGTCAAAATGTGTGGCATCTTTTGCAAGCTTGAGTATCTGATATAAATATCAACTTGATATCTTCACGCGTTCCTGAAAAAAAGGGTCTTGACAGACAGACAGACAGACAGACGGGCAACGAAGATCCTATATGGGTTCTTTTGTTCCATTTGGGGTACGAAACCCTAAAAATTGAAGAAGTGGATGATTTATGGTCACTAGTCGAGTCGAGTGTTAATCCGATTGCTGCAATTTTGTAGGTCGAATGTAAAATAAACTTTAACGAATTACATTTCCATCCGTTTTACATTTTCGCTGTTCTATTAGGATTATTTAATTGTGGAGCAAGGACCTCTTTGAATTTTATCGTCACTTCTGTACCCTTATCCATGGAGCGAGTGTCTAAGACTACTTATTTTCTGTTTCATATGCTATTTTTAGGCATAGAAGCTATAGGGGCTGGTAATGTTTCCGATGAGTATACAAATTTGGGATACTTTCACACAAAGGCTTTCGTTAAGGATGGACAACGCAATAACTTCGCCAAAGCTTTCCTGTCTCCAATAAAGAACCGAAATAATCTTTACTTCATGAGTAACGCTACAGTTCTCAAGGTATTTCTTTATACTTCCATAGTTCCTTAATTTCCTTCAGACCAATATTTCGTAAAAACTGTATGCTGCCTTTTTACTTAAATTTTATATTGTTGTTAAGGTTCTATTTAATTCGAACGACGGTAAAAAAGCTACAGGGATTGAAGTTGCCGTGGGAGGTAAGATTTTTAACATCAAAGCGAAACGAGAAGTAGTTTTAACAGCTGGATCTATCAACACACCTAAAATCCTGATGATGAGTGGAATAGGCAAGGCAAAACACCTTCGTAGTATCGGTATTGAACCAATTGCAGACCTTCCTGTGGGGGAAAACCTCCAGATACAAATCACGTTTCCAATTTTTGTTGGACTCAAGCACGATATCGACGAGTCGACCCAAGAGGCCGAAATAATAGATTCCATTTACGAATATGTGAGATATAAACGGGGAAAAGTTGCTAAAACGAACGTCCATGGTCTCGTGGGATTATTAAACATGAAGACAGTCCCGTACGATAATCCAACGATATTAATGTATCACTATTATTTTCGGAAGAAAGATGCTCTCTTTGAAGAATACTTAAACAAAATGAATTTGCAAAAGGAAATTGTCAAATCGCTTATGCGACACAATCAAGAGAATAGTATCATTATATTTATGCCAACTCTTATAAAACCAAAATCGAGAGGAAAGGTTCTTCTCAACTGTACTAACAAAGAACGTAAGATATTACAATCAATAACATATCAAATTAAGGATGTATGGGTGGTTCAGTCGGAAGCAAATTAAACAAATGAAATATGAACGTTTACATTGTTGGTTTAGATCTTTAGATCTTATTTGGTTTCATCAGTGCCCCACAGGCTATGTAGCTAAATTATTGAGGAAACCGATGAAACTTCTAAAGAACGAGTTGAAGTCATATCCAAATACATCACACAGTGTAACTGTGTCTAATGCTTTGAAGTACATCAGTTACAGCAAATATCTATACAATTGACGATGAACTGCTTGTATTTGGATATAATATACTAAATTTGAGGAAAATTAAACATTTTCATTTACTATGAAAAAAAGGTCAGGCCAGTTATGAAATTAAATTATTCATTTTCGAGTTCAAAATGGACCAAAAAGGCATTTATCAGCTTTTAAAACTTACTTGAGGTGAATATGTCCTTAATCCAAGATATTATTGAATGTCCTAAATTCTGCAACACAATGGGAGATACAATAACTGAGGTCGTAATCGGTTAGAGTTGTTTCTTAACGTTTCTCTAGCACGAGGGGCGCTCTTCTTCAAAGGTACTTCCTGGATGTTCAGCATCGGAGTTCGAAGAACCAACTCCAATCGACGACGACCATTAAACCCGAATCAGGAGAGCATCAGTTCACCTACCGACTGCGGAGCATTTACCAATTTGAGATATAAAAATCACAATCTTTTACTTTTTTTAATTGGGCAGTTACTTATTAGGATTAAAGGCATTTATCAGCTCAGTTCCTTCAGGAACAATTGTTAAACTTTTCTCAGTATTTTAAAAATCTGTATCAGTGAACCATACATCCTTAAACTTTGAATGCGGTAAGTTGCTGCAGTAGTAAACCCTAGGAGTCAATCCTTTTAAATGACTGTTAATAGATTTTTTGTGACGATTAACTCCTGGATACAAAATAGAAACTGATTTGACTACTTTCTGGTTGTCATATATCCGTCAGATGTCCGTCAAAATATTCAATTTAATAAGAATCGTCTATTGACACTATCGTTAACAGTCGTTGATACAAATGAAAATACATTCAGTTCGTTAGTAAACAGCAGAGGGGTGTTATTAAGCGAAGTCATAAAATTGATTTTTAGACGTTCTGAAGTACTGATGAAATTTTACTTCATCATCTATTAATTCCTTATACATTATGTCTGATCCGGTTGGCCTAAGGATTTTTCCTCGGGAATCTGACACTGCCCAGTCATACGGACGTCTGGGCGTCTTTTGAAGATTTCCCCTCTTTTTGTATTTTGTGGTAATCCTTTGCCAACTGAACGTTAACGAGTGCTAATCATTACGTACAATGGACTTGCCTACGTATCAGCTGTTACGAAGGTCACAAATAGGTATGTGTGTTTCGTCAGTTGAGGCTTGCTATACCGAAAGACGATAAGACAAAGCGGCAACTGTTCTCAAATGACTAGTTAAACGGGGTACTTTCTGTGCGTACTTTTTACATCCCATCACGAGATGTACTCTAATATTTAATATTTCGGGATACTGTATAACGTAAAAAATTCTTATTCGATTTTTCTATCCAATAAACATTTGTGCACTTATTGTTTTAATCTTCCTGCTTCTTTTTGTTTTCCTTATCTTCTCCATCGCCTCATTTTCTTCTTCAAGTAAAAAAGCAATAACTACTAAATCAGTAGGAGAATAATTTTTAAACATCGCATCGTATCAACTGTCCAAAATTTAACTGATGGTCAGCTGCTGTATAACTTGAATACAACATAAAACTGACGGACATTTGCCGGACGGATAGTGTGAACCAGCTTTTACAACGCAATTTCTTATTTATTTGAAGGAAACCCACCCGTAGTGATGGCCAACTTCTTTTCCGACCCTAACAACGAAGATTTGCAGACCTTACTATCAGCATTTCACTACACCCTCAAACTTATCGACACTCAACCGTACAAAACATATAAGGCTACCCTATTGAACATCGACATACCGCATTGCAGAAACTTCAAATTTTGTAGCGAATACCACATGAGATGCATGATTAAAAGTTTAGCTCATCCGTCATCGAATATTGCTGGAACCACGAAAATGGGAACAATATGTGAACCAGACACCGTTTTAGATGATTTTATGTACGTCAGAAAGGTGAGAAATCTGAGGGTTGCAGACGCAAGCGTTTTTCCTGAAATAGTGTCCGGAAATACGCAGGCTACTGAGGCCATTGTGGCAGAACGAGCTGCTGAGTACATGAGAAAGAAATGGGTTAAGAATTATAACAGCGTGTTTCCCATTGAGGTTAACGATCCTGAAAGTTATGAATCCTTAACTGCATGTTTGTCCTGTGAGAAACTATGAGAAATAAATTACGTACTGTTGCTGACAGGTACCTATTTTCGAAATAAACGTTTTTATTTGAGTAATATTTTTATTAGAGATGCTTCTGATAGTGATTTTGCTAGTTATCGGATAACTGGGTACCCGGCAGAACCACTACGAATAATGGTTCGCGTCTTTGTCCTGGCAGGTTCACCAACGTCCTGTTCAAAAAGTCGTGAAGTTGACACAATCAACAAATGAAATTTTAATTCTTGGTTGACGGATTTTCAATGAGAGGCTTGAGTTGAAACCTCTGAAATGAGCTTATAATGTTTATAATCACTAAAAGTCTATAAGGTGACAAAATAATAAATTATCGTTAATCAAACTCTAATACACTAACAAGCGACAGAAATTTTAACAGTTCGGTCATACTGATGTACTCATATTTTACGAGAAAAAGTAAACACATGAATTATATCGAAATAACAAATGATTTAGCATAGTCATCATCATCATAAGATCGTCAGTCCTAAGACTGGTTGGACACGCACCTCCACTCTTACTATCCTGAGCGAATCGTCGCATTTCCCTAAAACTAGAATAACCCACATCCTTAACTATTTGTGAATAGTAATCTAATCCAGGTCTACCTCTACCCCTCCTAACTCCCGTTTCTGCCTCTAATATGTCTCTGATTATATATTCATGCTTGAGAAGGTGTCCTACCAACCTATCTCGCCTATATCCTATTGACTTCCATAGAGTCCTCTGTTCTAATCTTTTTAATACATTTCTAACCTTCTCTACCCACGGTATCCTCATGATTCTCCTGTAACACCACATTTCGAACGTTTCTAACCTTTTCTTTTCCGTCACATCCACCATCCATGTTTCGCACCCGTACAGCGCTGCGCTCCAAGCATATAAATTTAACAATCTTTTTCGAATTTCTAAATTAACATAGAAGCATAGAAGTGACTTCTCTTTATTGAATGCGACTCGACCCTGCGATATCCTCGGCTTTATATCCCTATTATTCCTTCCGTCCTGACTTATCTGACTTGATACCTTAAATCAGCCACTTTAGCATAGTAATAAATAAATAATACAAGTTAGGACAAACGACCTATACCAATATAATCTTAATTACCAATCTTTATTAGGTTCGTTGTCTGATTTTTCTTTTTTCCCTCTGGTAGATTAATCGGCACTGCCTTTCTTTGTTTTTTTTTTCAAAATTTCGCTAACAATCGATAGATAGTGCTATTATTAGTCCTACTTTGGTAAAAACTAGCCTAAAGTTTTTTGATTACACTATACGAGTATAATAAATTTATAACAATGAAGCATATCTATTATTAGTAAACCGATAATATCTCTGACATAACAAAACAGGGTCGCGACCCTTGTGAACGTTTGTAGAAAGTTGAAATGTTTTAATTAACTCTACAAATTACTACTATCGATTCTTTTGACATCTAACCAATAATTTCGTATATTTTAGACTGTTGTGAAAGTTTGATACAATGTCTCTATTTATGCATACAATTAACTGTAAGCGCAACCACAGGTTTGATATAACATTACGAAATATGGGTACGTATGTACATCAAAATGCATCATTACAAAATTTACTTGCAATATTACAGTTTAATGTCATGACAGTGTTTTTAAAGGTTTAATTGTTGACCTCAAACTGACGAAACTTGACTGGTTGAATAAATGAGAAAATGGAACAAAACTAATGTCATATATACAAAAGCATTTACAGTTTATTTATAAAAAAATTGTTCCACAAGTTCTTTTTGAGTGTTTCCGAATTAATATACACACCACTTTGTTTTAATACGAAAAATTGGGAGATTCCACATAAATAAGTAATCCTAAAATGTAGCATCGTGCTCCAGATGGCGATCACTGCGTCATTTGTAGTATTTTCTAAAACGCACTGTTAAAACAGCAGGTAAAAGTTGGTCTGTGTTCTGTCGAAGCTGCTTGCGACGCGCTGATGAGATCCAAAAAGATCGAAATCGCGATCCGCGTCTGGCAGTTTCGACAGAATACAGACCACTTCGAATTATGTTAATTGCTAGATATTTACTAATTTCGATTTATCGCTGGTTAATCCAAACTAATAAGATTCGAATTAGAAATTTTAAGGTCGAATTTGGTCACTTTTTGCCATTCGTGTTTGAAAATGACAAGGAGGACATAGTAAAAATTAAACTCAATATTATTAGAAGTACTCCTTAACTTAATGTTATAAAAGAAATTTCAAATTCAATTACACGAGATTTTTTACGTTACCCATAGGTACCTCACATACTGGGGTACCCAAAAAGAATTTCACCCCAACTTCACTATAACAGAGGGGTGCTTTTAAGAAGAAAATCCGTTTGCTACATTTATAAAATAAGACAGACTTGTCTGAAACATCTTCATCTTTGGGTAACATTTTCTGTGCTCGGGTAAGATTGTTTTTGAAGTCGGTTGAAATATTAAGTATTTAGTTTCTGATTTGTCCATTATTTTAATTTTTTTTAAGTTTAGACATCTATTATGTTAAAAGTATTACACAAATTAAATAGGTAAATGTGCTCATTTAAATTTCAAAAGAGGATTTAAGCAAATAGCAGGAACAGTAGGTACCTATAAGTTGAAGAAGAATGTGTTTTCCCACACATTTAGTCGAAGTGACTATTTACTATTTCATTGAAAAAGAAATTGTGTCTTTTCCTAAATTGCAAAAGAGACAAAAGAAAGTAAATAAATAAAAGGAGTTCCCATTAAATATTTATTTTAGCATATGAATATTTATGCACGTAAATGTTACTGCGTGACGTAGACCATTGCTACATTGTAAAATAAATAATTAAAGATGCATTACAATTAACACAAACAATTTAAATTACTTTATAATTTCAATTTTATCAGTGTTTGGTAATACCAAACGGATGAATGATCATAAAAATAAACAAATTGTATTACACAAATTACATGTGCCTAAGGTAAATTTTGTATGTCATTATTATACTATAAAATTAGATATTTAACCGTAGATAGCACGTACTGTTATAATATAAAGAAAAAATGGAAATTTCTGTGGAAACTGCCAAAAACAAACACTACAACTGTGTGGATTAAAACTGAAATCAGAAACGTTAAAATAAAAGCCTATTTTGCATACTTATGTGTAATTCTCTCAAAATAAAGATTCCTTAATAAAATAAAAATAAATAAAATCAATGATTAGGCAAGTTATGTACTTGAATACCATATCTTTAGCGAAAGTGAGAGGGTTTTCCTTGATTTCATTTAGGAAGAAAACGAAACATTCCCTCAGGTTATTTTGCATTTCGAGGTAGGAAGGAAGGGAAAATCACACAGAAATTATCATAGCAAAAAATAGGTTGTCTGTAAAGTCGGTTTACTGACGATAGTTGAACGTGACAACGTCATAAGAAAATACTGATNACCTTTAACAACCTTTTTCGAATTTCTAAATTAACCGTTCGCGAGCATAGAAGTGACTTCTTTTTATTAAAGGCGACACGACCCTGCGCTATCCTCTGCTTTATATCCCTACTACTCCATCCGTCCTGACTTGTCTGACTTCCTAGATAACTAAAATCAGCCACCTCTCCTAATTTTTCGTCTCCTATCTTTATATTCGCTCTTTCCCTACTTTTTCTTCCTTTGCATACCAGTATTGTAGTTTTACTTTTATTTATTTTCATACAGTACTGATCTGTCAGAGCCGCTTCCATTTTATTTAAAGCTATCTCTAGGTCCTCCTTGCCAGATGCTAATACTGCTAATCAGCCGTCATAATGATCGATAAAAAACATCGTTTCAATAAATGAATCAAAAAGAGACAATCTCAATTTTATACTTTTAACCAATGTACGCTTTTACTTGCAATCAAAAACAGTACGGTCAATAACTTTTAGCGGTTACTGTACACCAGATTACTTAGGTTATCACGGTATAATAATGAAAATCAATAAACACACAAGACTGCATGAAACATGAAAAGAGATAATTATAGACACAAATACATTGTATATTGTGTGTGGTTACAAATTTATAGCGATTGTTACCGTAAAATAGGATTTACTGTTATAAAGAAAAGAGGCAATCGTTTGCTTGGTATGAAGTCAGCAGCCTCATTTACCTTCACTGCTCTGTTCGCGTGTTCTCAATCGACAACATCAGTAACAAGATACCGTTAAGAACTTTATAAGAGTTTAACATCAGCAAATGTGAACGAAGTTTGTTTGTAACTAGTATAAGAAGCATCATCTGTAAAAAGGTAGGAAGACAATACAAATTTGTAAGTGCTAGATCACTTGTGAGAAGTAAGCTACCTATTAATATAACAGAGAGTACATATTATCTTGATTGGATCTCATTAGTTTTGAAAAAGTTTTTAGGCAACAGTTCTATGTTTTCGAAAAGGGACTCGACTTTAACTGAGACCTTCATTCAGGTTTGGGCACTTTTCATGAAAATCAGGAATAGATATTTTTAACCCCAACGGAAAGTGCAGAAAACTCAATTATCCTGGAATTTGATTTTCTCTTACTTTTTCAGTTCGATGATATTTCCGATTACAAAATTTTCCTCTCTTTCGACTTCTGAGCTCATAAATATACATTCTTATTTATAAACAGTCCCTTGGCTTGCAAAGTACTCTTCGAAGGTCAAGTTTAAAGTCGCATTCAAGGTCATACTAATTTCCCTTCCAAAAGCATACCACGTTTATCTAAACGTTTTCCAAAATAATGAAATACATTTCAGATATTCTATTGTTTCAAGATAAATAAGTCACATAAACAAATTAAGACCTTGTAGGACAATTTGGACGTAACAAATTGAAAATTGGGCCACTTGCAATTTCCACATACCTCATTTTTTTTTGTCATTTTGTAGTTTCTTCAGAAGTTACAAATTTACTTGTATGTACTTCTACGAAAGGTAAATTTCGCTACTTTTGTGAGACCAAACGTTTAAAAGTTCATGTTCAGTTGCCACCAGTACATAAAGACTGTACAAGGTGTTCTAATAATAATTCCGCAAGTGGAGTCGTGGCTTTCGTTAAATAAATTATACCGGATGCTCAAAAATTGTTAAACTAGTCACTCATCCGCAGAAATTTATTAAATATCTATAATAAGTAATTGAACACCAAATTTTTTTTTCAAGGGATTTTCATTGTCTTAGTTTATTTTACTTTATTATCTCTTAGTTTTATACTACAACAAAATGGAAAATTTATCGGCGATCATGCCCAATTGTACCCAACTTGACGGTGTATCTGAGCATCTTTTCATGGCCCTGATGAATATTCTGGTTGCTGCCAAATGTTCTTTTCCAAGTCCTGAGAAAGACTACCCTCTAGATTATGGCCCTAAATTGACGGATGAAGAAGAGTTTGACTTTATTGTAGTTGGCGCAGGAACTGCTGGATCCGTGGTAGCTAGTCGACTTTCTGAGATACAAGATTGGAAAGTCTTACTGTTAGAAGCCGGAGGATATCCAAGTGCTACCAGTGAGGTAAGTTAATTACGAAAAAACGACGTGATAAGCGAAAGTAGGTTTGAGTCATTTTCATTCAAATTTAATATTTCAAGATTCCATCCTTGCTGTTTTCCCTTCAAGGAACTAAAGAAGATTGGCAGTACGTAACAGAGCCGAGTCCGACATGTTGCTTGGGTTTGAAAAATAAAAGATGTTTCTGGCCACGTGGCAAGACACTTGGAGGCAGTAGTGCACTCAACGTGATGCTTTATCTCAGAGGCAATAAAAACGATTACGACCGATGGGAGGAAATGGGCAATGAAGGCTGGAACTACGACGCGGCAGTAAAATACTTTCAAAAAGTTGAAAGGCTTGCTGACGACTCGTTGAAGAAGCACAAATTTTTTGGAGAAAATGGATATTTGACATTAAGTACATCAGAGGTGAAGTTCACTTTGAAGAAATCAATAAAACAAGCTGCAAAAGAAATAGGTCTAAGCACTCCCGAATTTGAAAGTTCGTTGGGATTTTTCGATGCCCTTCTTTCTATAGAAAATGGCGTAAGATGTAGTGCAGCTAAGGCATATTTGAGAAACGTTAAGAATCGACAAAATCTTTATTTGGCTACCGAGGCGTATGTCAAAAAAGTCTTATTTCAACCAAATACCAAAAAAGCATCAGGGGTTGAAGTGTTCATCAATGGTAAAACTCTTAAACTCAGAGCCAAAAAAGAGGTGATATTATCCGCTGGCTCCATAAATTCGCCACACCTGCTAATGAACTCTGGAATAGGCCCTAAAGATCATCTTGCACAGCACAAAATATCATTAGTCCAGGATCTCTGGGTTGGAAATAATCTACAAGATCATATGCATGTTCCTCTCCTTTTAGAATTAGATGAAGACGTCGATGAACAGAAACGAATTGCCGATCACCTCTTTAATTATTTCGTTCACAGAAAAGGACCAATTGGTGGAGTGTCGCTTACGAATTTCGTCGGATTTGTTAACACAAAGAACGACTCTGTCTACCCCAACATTCAGTACATTCCACTGCTTCTTCCGAAAACAGATCAATATCTGACAGCAGAGGTACATCGTGTGTTTGGGATGGAAGACGCTCAAATTCAAAAAGAAAAAAAAGTTCTTGAGCACCGAAGTCTTCTTAGAATGATCATTGTTAACACATACCCCGAATCTCGAGGAAGGGTTGAACTGAAAACCAACGACCCATTTGAGAAACCTCTTATACATCCCGGTTATTTTACTGATCCAGATGGAAAAGACCTTCAAACGATGGTAGAAGGAATCAGATTATTTCAAAAAATTATCAAAACGTCAGCTTTTAAAAAACACAACCCGAAAGTTATCGAGCCAGTGTCTCCTAACTGTAAACATCTAAAGTTTGATACTGACGATTATTGGAAATGTATCATAAAAGACATAGGTGCCACGACATACCATCCCGCAGGTACTTGCAAGATGGGACCAAAAGAAGACCACTCGTCCGTCGTAAGTTCGAGATTGACCGTTCATGGTGTTCATAATTTGAGAGTCATTGATGCATCAATAATGCCAAAGATTGTCAGTGTAAATCTCAACGGGCCCACATTCATGATTGCCGAAAAAGGAGCAGAGTTGATCAAAGAAGACTGGCAAAACGTACGAGATGAATTGTGACTCATTCCTGAGCACTGAATTTATACAAACGACTGATCCATTTTTAATATAAAATAATAGATATACATATTAA